CCAGGTACTCGCGTGTCTGCTACCCCAGGTGCTGGTGAGGCAGCTGCTCTAGGTGCTTATGCGTCTGACCCCCTCGTACTGAGTCGACTGTAGCACTGCACACCTTCATACTGGACTCAGGTGCTTCTCGCTGCTTCTTTCGTGACCACACTGCCCTTGAGCCGCTTTCTCGGCCAGTTGCTGTCTCCCTCGCTGACCCCTCTGGGGGTCCGGTCATTGCGACCTCCTCCACTGTCCTTCCCTGTCCTGCAGTCCCGTCGGGCACACTGTTAGGTCTCCACCTCCCCTCGTTCTCTACAAACTTGGTGGCAGGTTGTGCACTCCAGGACGGGGGTGTTCACCAGTTCACCCCTGCCTACGAGCGTGTGACACACTGCACGTGTGCTCGTACGGGCCGCCACTTGGCTACCTTCACTCGGCAGCCGGGGTCGGACCTGTACACACTAACCACTGCGTCCCCTCAGGTCGCTGCGTCAGCGTCTGCGTCCGCGTCAGGTCAGCTGTCTGCCCCCTGCTCGTGTCGCTCTCTGGCGCACGAGACTGTCCTCTGGCACCACCGACTTGGCCACCCGTCAGTGCAGCGCCTTCGTGCCATGCACTCCCGGTACCTTGTCTCTGGTCTTCCCAGGGTCCTTCCTCCCCTCCCACCCTTGCCTGCTCCTCCCTGTCTTCCCTGTGTCGAGGGGCGGCAGCGCGCCGCTCCTCACTCCTCCTCGTTTCCCCCGACGTTTGCTCCCTTGCAGACACTCCACATGGACGTGTGGGGCCCAGCCCGCGTCCGTGGTCAGGGTCAGGAGAGGTACTTCCTGATAGTTGTTGACGACTACTCGCGCTACACCACGGTCTTCCCCTTGCACACCAAGGGTGAGGTCCCGGATGTCTTGATCCCTTGGATCCGCAGAGCCCGTCTCTAGCTCAGCGAGCGTTTCCACTCGGACTTTCCTGTCCTGCGCTTGCACTCTGGCAGAGGTGGTGAGTTCTCCTCCAACCTCTTGGCAGCCTACTGTGCTGAGCACGGCATTGAGCAGTCGTTCATGCTTCCGGCCTCTCCACAGCCGAATGGGATTGCAGAGCGCCGCATTGGCCTGGTCATGAAGGTCGCCTGTACCTCCTTGATCCATGCGACTGCCCCCCACTTTCTGTGGCCGTTTGCGGTCCGGTACGCTGCGCATCAGCTCAACCTCTGGCCCCGTGTCTCCTTGCCGAAGACCTCGCCCACACTGCTGTGGACGGGGGAGTTTGGCGATGCGGCGCGTTTCCGGGTCTGGGGATCTCGAGATTTTGTCCGCGATACGTCTGCGGACAAGCTCTCCTCCCGTGCTGTTCCCTGCGTCTTCCTCGGCTTTGTCCCGGACGCGCCTGGTTGGCAGTTTTACCACGCCACCTCGCGTCGAGTCTTGCCCTCTCAGGACGTCACTTTTGACGAGTCCGTCCCCTACTACCGCCTCTTCCCCTACCGCACTGCCCCGCTCCCCCCCCCCCCCCCCCCCCCCCCCCCCCCCCCGCCTCTCTTCCTCGCGCTAGGTGCTGCTGTCGTAAACCCCTTCCCCCCTCAGGGTGCCGCTCCCTCAGGTGTGTCTCAGGCAGACCCGGTTGAGCCTGCTGAGGTAGCTGTTGACTCTCGTCCTGCTGCGGGTGCGGAGCCTGGGGGTGCTGAGGACCCGGGCGCTGGTGCTGCTGGTACTGAGGACACGGACGTTGGAGCTACTGCTGGTGCTGAGGAACCTGGCGCTGGTGCTGTGGAGTCGGGCATTGGAGCTGCTGCTGGTGCTGTGGGGTTGGGCATTGGAGCTGCTGCTGGTGCTGAGGACCCGGGCATTGGAGCTGCTGCTGGTGCTGAGGACCCGAGCGTTGGAGCTACTGCTGGTGCTGAGGACCCTAGCGCTGGTGTCTCTGCTGATTCTAGAGTCGCTGCACGGCAGCGGCCGTACTTTGTTCCGCTCCTTCAGCAGGTTCTTGGTCTCCCGCCTTCTACCGGTCCTCCTCCTCCCTTAGAGTGTCAACAGCCTGTCCCGTCACAGTTACAGTTACAGCCCGCCTCCCCATTGCCTGCTCCTTCTCCCTACACTGGTCCTACTGGAGGTCTTGCTTAGCGTCGTGAGCCTGCGTCTCGCCCTGCGTCGCCTGTCCGTACTGCTCGCACTAGTGGTCGCGGTTCGCGTCAGCGTCCTCCTCCTGTCCCTGGCACACACCAGATGTCTCTACGTCCGTCCACTGCTCCTCTATGTGCCCCTTTGCCTTCTCCTTCTGACTCCTCTCATCCTGCTCTTCCCGACCCGGAGTCGGACTCTCTTCGTGCTGCCAGTCCTACTGTCATGCGTCTCCTTGCTACTATCGTCACTGACCCTTCCTTTGAGTCCACTGCTGCGTCTGCCCTAGTTGCTGAGCTCGTCAACTTTGCTGCTCGCTGTCGTCTTGACTACGCAGCTAGTCTTGTCGCTGAGTCTGAGTAAGTCTGTCCTCCGTCCGTCGGGGGTGAGTGTGCCCTTGGCACGGACGTCCTTGAGGACAGGCAGGAGGAGTTCCAGTGCTTGGCCGCTGCTTCACCTCATCTCGTGACCGTACTGCTTACCCCTGAGGGAGACCCGGATGCACTTGACATCCCGACTCCGCGCTCTTACGCGGAGGCGATAGAGGGTCCCTACTCTTCTCAGTGGCAGGCAGCTATGGATGCAGAGATGGCTTCCTGGAAGTCCACAGGCACCTACGTTGGCGCTGTCCCCCCTCCTGGGGCGAACATCGTCAATGGCATGTGGATTTTCAGGGTGAAGCGGCCGCCGGGTTCTCCGCCTGTCTTCAAGGCGCGTTACGTGGCTCCTGGCTTCAGTCAGCAGCAGGGAGCTGACTACTTTCAGACCTTCTCTCCCACCCCGAAGATGACCACTCTTCGGGTACTGCTGCACGTAGCTGCTCACCGTGACTACGAGCTACACTCTCTTGACTTCAGCACTGCTTTCCTGCAGGGCAGCCTGCATGAGGAGATCTGGCTGCGCCGCCCATTTGGCTTCACTGGGACCTTTCCTCCTGGCACCCAGTGGAGCCTCCGGTGGCCAGTCTACGGTCTCCGCCAGGCACCGCGTGAGTGGCACGACACACTGTGAACTACGCTTGTGGCTCTTGGGTTTGCTCCCTCTACTGCCAACCCGTCGCTGTTTCTACGCATCGACACTTCTCTGCCGCCGTTCTACATCCTCGTGTACGTCGACGACTTGGTCTTTGCCACAGCTGATACTGCTGGACTCGCCTACGTGAAGTCCGAGCTGCAGAAGAGACACACGTGCACAGACCTCGGTGAACTACGCAGCTACCTTAGCTTTCAGATCACCCGGGACAGAGCACGCCGCACCATCACCCTTACTCAATCACACATGGTGTAGCAGGTCCTTCAGCGCTTCGGCTTCACGTACTCCTTGCCTCAGGCCACTCCTCTGCCTACTCGCCACTCGCTCTCAGCTCTGCCTTCGGATGAGTCCGTAGAGTCGAGTGGCCCGTACCCAGAGCTTGTTGGCTGCCTCATGTACCTGATGACCTGCACGCGACCTGACCTTGCATACCCTCTTAGCATTCTCGCACGCTATGTTGCTCTTGGGAGACACTGACCAGAGCACATGGCTGCAGCGAAGAGGGTGTTGCGCTACTTGTGCAGTACGTTGGGCATGGGGCTAGTGCTTGGAGGGCGGAGTCCAGTGGTCCTCACTGGTCACGCAGACGCTTCTTGGGCTGACGACCAGGCTACGCAGCGGTCGTCACAGGGTTACACCTTCAGCCTTGGTTCCGGCTCTGTTTCGTGGCGGGCTACTCGCTCGTCTTCGGTTCTCGGCTCCAGTTGTGAGGCTGAGATCTACGCAGGGGCCATGGCTGCTCAGGAGCTTCGCTGGCTCACCTACCTGCTGACCGACCTTGGAGAGCCGCCTCGTTCTCTTCCAGTCCTGTACGTAGACAACAAGGCCATGCTGGCCTTGTGTTGAGAGCAGAGACTGGAGCATAGAACAAAGCACATTGCTCTCCGCTACTTCCTTGCTCGTGAGCTACAGCAGCGTGGTCAGTTGCGGCTTGCGTACGTGGACTCTGAGGCCAACACTGCTGATGTCTTCACCAAGGCACTTGCGCCTTGTGATCATCAGGGCTTCTGCACCCAGCTAGGTCTTGTACCTGTCTTGCCTTACTTGCTCACCTCTTGACCTTGCTTGTACTTTTACATATATACATACACCTGCTCTCGCTTGTCTAGCCTTATATATATATGTACTCCTGCATGTGAACTGGCCTTGTGGCATTGAACTTGTGCTCGGAATGTGTGGTGACTTTGTGATCCACCCTGAGCTTGCTTTGCTTTGCTTTACTTGACTGGTCTTGTGACCCCTAGTTCTCCCCCACTTCGCCTATGGGGGTGTGTCAAACGTTATATATGTTGTGCTTGTTTAGGCTACAGTGGGTTAGCCTATAGGGGGTACATAATTCTAGGGTTAGGTACTTGTACTGATTTCACTTTTAGTTCAATCATTCCTGTTCGTTCATTTCAACACGATGGAGTTATGAGAAAAATCTATGTTGTTACCATTGATGCTATGAGCCTTTCCCAGGGTAAGGTTCCACTTCCCTATATTGTTCTGCCGCTCTGTGGTGAACAGATCATGATGGATGTCATAATTCTGTCCGCCGCAGAGCAGGCAGGACAGTGCAGGGTAGTGGACCAACAGCTTCCCGCCGGTCTCCATTGGGTTGTCAACGACATGACGCCAGCGGTAACGATCCCCAGGGTGCTGAATGAACAAGCCTTTGATCACGTTAGTATCAGCTCCGGTAAGTGGGTGGACCACACGATGGAAGGCGAGACCATCCTTGAAAGCAAACTGCTTTCGCATCTTCAACTTGAAACGGACAAGCAAGTCCTTAAGCACATCCGGAATGATGTTAGCAGGTACACGATGGAATAACACTTCGACATCAAGCCGGCGAGCAGCCTTCTCCTTAAGGTAAGAAGCGTCTTCCGTATGCTGCTAGATGCATTTAATCGCTGGAGCATTGGACTTCTGGTATTCGAAGACGTGGGACTTGATATGGTGAGCATCACGTTCTTCAAGAAAGCCCGGTGTCATTTCCTAGATGTTGGCAGCGACTCCGGCATTCTCAGTCAGGGACGAGCTCCAAACCTTCGTCATCTGGAGGCGGACGGCTGCAATAAGAGCTTTAGTCTCCTGAGACAGCACCATCGGGATAAGTAAGATTGTGGTAAAACGAAGACGGAAAGCATCCTCTTTTGCAATGTCGATATCCAGCTCTTCGTCCGAGTCGTCCTCCAGGAAGTCATCAATTGCTGCCAAAGGAGCCTGGTACGCCTGATTCGCCTGACTCTTCTCTTCCACTGTCAGACCAGAACTTCCAGCGACATTGTCCATGACCTCCACAGCAGTATCACCAGTAACCTTGGCCTTCTCCTTTGCAGCGACATTGTCCGTTGCCATGGAGGTGGTCATGTTAACCGTATCAGCCGACCCTTTCGTTCCAGTGTCTTCCCCAGCAGGTACCAGCGTAATAATCGGGTCCGTAAGGAGGTCATCCGGGAACGTAACATCTGCAGTCGCCTTCGTCATAAGCTTGGGAGGCATGGTGCGATGATGACGACCAGAAAGCAGCCAGAAAAGGTCTGACAGCAAGCGAGCAGACCAAGAAGCTTGTGAAGCTTGTGAAACTGATGCTGCTGGAGTACTGAGCACCACCTCCTTATAACAGATCCTTTGCGCCAGGGCCTTGCTTTCTTATTGGAAATAAAGGACTCCCGAGGTGATCGCCTTGGGATCTTGCCTTGAAGTTTGATAAAGTAGATAAGAGAGCCAGTGTTGTGTTGTAGTGAAGACTTCATGTCGTAAAACTTAAAAAAGGCCCGGAAAGTTTCCAGCAGAATCAAGAGACCCTGGATAATGGTTAGCTTGATATGCTTGCAACTTTGAGATGCACCTGAGTAACCGAGGTGAAACTTATATCCACTGGTTTGTAATGTACTCGGGACTTCAGATCTTGTTACGAATGAACTTGCAGAGTGCGCATAATATCGAATAACGAGAATGAACTCAAAGAACTGACGATACAATGAAAGTGACGAGGCCTAAATAGGGGAAGTCCTAGCTAGGCGGGGAGGTTGGGCGAGGATGGCTCGATGATGGTTGCGATTGGTGCGGAGGCGACTCGGGAGTGGTTCGGTGCGACGAAATAGGAAGGACAGGTTCGTCGCGTGACCCTCTGGATGGCCTCGCTAACGAGTGCCTCAGTAAGGATTCTATAAATCCTTACAGATCTGTTCTCAGAGTTACCAACTGATAAGTAACCGTCACGAAACAGACTCTCAAAGTTCCGAGGTAGAATCCATGGCGGCCTTGTCACTTTCAACATGAAACTTGGTTAGCGAACTGGATTCTGGGTCTTGCTGCTCAATTGATCTAGAGTTCCCAAGGAATCAAGGGTGTCTCAGTTGGAGTGTGCTGGAGATGAAGAGTTTGTTGGCAAGGAATCCTGGAAACTTGTGTGAAAGGAATCCTGGTCTGGTACATTTGAGCGAAACTGAACCAACACAGCCCTTCGTTCCAGTCAGTGCGTTCAAGTTCGCTCTTTTTCGTAGATCACGTTAATGATTTCTCGATGCCGACTTTTTGCAAGATCATGTTACCACCAGGGTCAAAACGCCGTGCAGAAATTCCGACACTGTGCGCTGGTTACCTGAAGGAACTGACCTGGTTCAGTCTTCTGTGCGTGACTGTGGACTGGCTCCTGTCGACGAAGGAACATCCACTCTTGCTGCCATTGCTTAGTTTCGAGGAGCGTCGAAACTGGCAGCTTATTCTTGGAATATGTGTTTACCTTGCTTTAGGCACCAAAAAGCGAGAGGCGTAAGAGCACGATGGGGAAGAAGCCAACTGCTTTTTCACACGGAAATGGGCTGGATGTAACCGAAACCGCGAGAATGGAAAAGCATGCAGCCAGGGCCGCCTTATTTGTAGAAAGAGGAAGCGCATCATCAGGCGAAGCAACACTAGCAACGCGATACTCTGCTGACCCAGGCACGCGATTCCCAGCGACGGAAGATTCGCAACCTGCCAATTCAATGGTAACGATCTCATTAAGGACGGAATCGAACGAAACAGCATTGATCGGGTCAGCCGCATCACTACCCGCTACTGTTACATCAGCAAACGGTCCTCCCCCAACAGAAGCATTATCAGAATCAGAATCGGCGCGCTCGTCGGCAATACCGAGGGCCGTATTAGATCATTCGCCCGCGCACAGCCTCCCCCAGCCTCACATCGCCCCGCAGGGAAGCAGCACCGCTGTCGCCCCAGCCCCGGCTATCCGTCGCCCGGGATATTTTGCTACAAGATCCGAACTCGGTATAAGCTCAGACCTCGGTATAATCTCGGAATCAGGCCCAAACGGTTACAGTACACTATCGGAATTAGGCCCAGGCGGCCCAAATCCAACCACCAGCACGCAGGCAGCGGCGAATGGAAAACAAAACCCATTCGGTACAGTCACATCCGCAGGCGCCGCTGCAGCCGTGGCTGCGTTACAAGCACGCAAGCACTGGGTGAGCAGGGTACAGGAAGGGTTACCCCAGGCGGCGGTGGTGGTGCTGCGGGTGCTGGTGGTGGTGGCGGCTGCTTGGAGCGCGTGTGCTGTGATGTTCTTTTCCCTCGTTATAATGCCCTGGGTTATGCTCCACCTCTCCACCTCCTCCCACCCGCACTTCCGCGCCCTTCGCTTCAATCACACCCCCGTTGAGGCGCTTTCAGCTGCTGCAGGGGAGAAAGGACAAGGAAGCGGAGGAGAAGGAGGAGGGAAAGTAGGAGGGATTGTGGGGGGGAGTGGGTGGGGAGTGAGAAAGGGGGAGGTGTGGAGGCCGAGGAGGGGAGAGGGGGTGTGTGAGCTGGGGAGAGGGGATTGGCAGATGGAGAGGGAGGGATATCCGTTGTACGCAGCAGAAGACTGTCCCTTCATTAGTGGCACATTCAACTGCCTGGTGAGGAGGGAGGGTGAGTGATCTTTGAGCAGAATGAAAAGGGTGTATAGGGTTAACGGGTGTATAATATCCGTTTTTTGCAGCAGAAGAGTGTATGTTTCTCAATAAAACATTCAACTGTCTGGTGAGGAGAGATTGTGAGCCTTGAGTTGATTCATAATGGTATCGATTTTGTTATTTGAAGCAGGAGATTGTTCCTTCGTTAGTGAAACATTGAATTCCTGTGAGGGTAGCTTTGCAGTGACTTTGACTATCTCCAATTCGCCTGGCGAGAGAGCGAGCGCATCCCTTTGTCGTTAGTTTGTTGCTTTTCTCCTCGTCCCTCTTCCATCCCCCCATCCCAACTCCCCCCCTCCTCTTCCCTCTCTGCTTCCGCTGCCTCCCCTCCCCCCCCGTCCCCCAGGACAACAGCTGCACGGACTTTGACTATCTCCGCTTTGCCTGGAGGGAGAACGAGTGCGCCCACCCATTCACCCACCCACCTCCCTCTCCCCTTCCCCCGTCCCCCAGGATAATGGCCGAACAGGCTTTGACTATCTCCACTTTGCCTGGCGAGAGAGCGAGTGCGCCCACCCGTTCACCCTCACGCACGCCCCCCTCTCCCACCCCCATCTCCAACCGCAGGAGAATGGCCGTACCGACTTTGACTATCTGCATTTCGCCTGGAGAGAGAGCGACTGCGCCCACCCGTTCACTCGCTTCCGAGCGGATCGCTTCTTCGAGGCCTTCCAGAACCGTCGGATCGTGTTCGTGGGCGACTCTACACTGTTGTCGGTACGGTCCATTTAAAGATTCTATGCGGCCCCGCAATAGTCGCTTCTGCGGGTCACTCCCTGCATGTCTCTCGATATGTTCCATTTCAGTGTAATCTCTGTCCCTGGTTTCTTTCCTTCCCCTTCCCCCTCATTCTTTTGCTCCATCCATCCATCCATCCATCAGCTTTTCAGCTCGCTCTTTGACCTCTGCCCATCACCACCACTCATCTCTAACCACCATAACATCTACCCCTGCCCATCTCCACTCCCCTCTCTTATTTTCTCTCTCCCTCAATCCCTTGCTTGCAGATGTTTCAGTCGCTGCTCTGCCTGCTCTCAGTGGGTCCCTCCCTCCCACCCAATCACAGCATGCCAACAGAGCGACTCAACCGCACCTTTCCCTCCCTCCTCCACCCCCCTTCCTCGTCTCCCTCCCTTCTATCCTCATCCTCCTCTTCTTCCCCCTCCTCAGCTGCTTCCCCCGCAGGCTCCAAAGCCCCCTCCCCCGATCCTCTCATCTTCCAGTATACATTCCTTCATGCCAACACAAGCCTTGACTTTTTCCACTCTGACTTTCTAACCGTCCTGGAATCCGCCCCTTCACATGCTCCTGGGCAATCAGATACACCTGCCCCAGACACGCCTCCTGCTAATATGGCTGTTCCAGATACGCCTAATCCTTCATTGACCAAGAATATGCCTGAGGGCATCAATAACAGCAGTATTACTGCCACCAATATCGTTGCTAGCTTTGGTAGCAGTAGCAACGCAGGCATTGGCAGAAGTCTTCTCACAGATACTTCTGAAACCACCCAGGAGCCAGGTTCGGATGGGTTGAATGCGGTGGAGCTGGGTTCGGACAGGTCAGGTGCGGCAAAGCCAAGTTCGGAGGGGTTGGGAGCGGTGAGAGTGGTGCGGCTGGATGCGTGGGCGGCATATGTGGTGGCAGCACAGCCGCATGTGCTGGTGATTCACACGGGAGGCGCGTGGGTGGGGCTGCAGCAGCGATGGCAGGAGCATAGGGCGCGAATACATGCTTCTCAGGAGGGGCAGAAGGGGCAGGAGGGGCAGGAGGAGGGGCAGAAGGGGCAGAAGGGGTAGGAGGGGCAGAGTGCAGCGAATGAATCAAAGGTTTTTGCTGCTGTGGCTGGTAAAGGAGTTGAGGGAGGGATGCGTGAGGAGAAAGTGGGAGCAGAAGGCAAGGTGGAGGTTGGTGGGGTAAAGGGGAAGGCTGGAGGGGGAAAGGGGGAGCCTGGTGGGGGAAAAGGGGAGGTTGGTGGGGGAAAAGGGGAAGGCTGGTGGGGGAAAAGGGGAGGCTGGTGGGGGAACTGGGGGGAATGGCGGGGGGAATAAGGGGACGGGTGAAAAGGCGAAGGGAAAGGGTGGGGGGAAGAAGGGGAATGGTGGGGAGAAGAGGGGGAATGGTGGGGAGAAGAAGGGGAGTGGCGGGGAGAAGAAGGGGAGTGGAGGGGAGAATAGGGGGAATGGTGGGGAGAATAGGGGGAATGGTGGGGAGAATAAGGGGAATGGTGGGGGGAATAGGGGGAATGGCGGGGAGAATAGGGGGAATGGTGGAGAGAATAAGGGGAATGGCGGGGAGAATAGGGGGAATGGTGGAGAGAATAAGGGGAATGGTGGGGAGAAGAAGGGGAATGGTGGAGGGAAGAAGGGGAATGGTGGAGGGAAGAAGGGGAATGGTGGAGGGAAGAAGGGGAATGGTGGAGGGAAGAAGGGAAACAGTGGGGGAAATGGAGTGGATGGTCGGAAAAACAAAGGTAGTGGTGGTGGTAATCAGGGCAACGGTGGGGGGAGCAAGGAGGCCGGTCAGGGAAATGACGGGGGGAATGGGGGCAAGGGTGGGGGGAGCAAGGAAGTCGGTCAGGGAAACCAAGGGAACGGTGCGGGAAGAAAGGGGAACAGTGTGGGGGATAACAAAACCAGTGCGGGAAGCAAAGGGAATGGTGGGATGGCATTGGGAGACAATAGTAAAGCTGGGCAGAAAGGAGGAGGGACAGGAAAGCAGGCAGGCAGTGCGATGAAGACAGCAGGAAGGAAAGGGGAGAGCAGTGGTGATAAGGCGAAGGAGAAACGCAAGGCTGTGGCAGAGGTGCAAAAAACGGGTGGAGGAGGGGGAGGAGGAGGGAAGGTTGAGAGATTGAGGAAGGCTGGAGGTAAAAAAGGAATCAAGGAAGGTGAGAGAAGACGATGGGAAAAGCAGGAGCCTGGGTCTGGGGGACAAGGTAAGCAAGGCAAGGGGCAAAAAAAGCAAGGCAAGGGGCAAGGGAAGCAAGGAGAGGGGAAACGGCAGAAGGTTGGGGAAAAGGTGGAGGAGGGGGTGATGAAGCAGGGTGGTGATAATGGTGGCCAGACAGCCAGTGGAGGAGGAGGAGGGGACACCACCAGTGGTTCTCAGACTGATCCGCTTGCAGGAGGGGAGTTGCAAATGGGCGACTTTGGTGATGATGATGCCATTCTGCAGAGTGACAGTATTGAGAGTGACAGTAGCAGCAGCGGCAGCAGCATTTCAAACAGCAGCAACAGTTTCACTACCAGCAGTCCCGGTAGCACTACCAGCAACGTCCAGAGCAGCAATAATATGATTCTTAGTAACCTCAGCATCAACCCCTCTAACATCGGCAGTGGGGGTGTTAGGGACAGCCACAAGAAGGGGAGGAAGGGGGGGGAGAGGAGTAAGAGGGGGAGGGGGAGGATTCGCAAGTGGCTGTGGCGGCACCGGCACCTGCTGAGCTTCCCAGAAAGCACAGAGAGTGTCCATAGGGAAGACGATGAAAGTGGTTCTTTTCATTCCCACATGCCTCTGATTCTGACTCCCATGCCACATGTTGACTCACCTGCGAGTGCAGGCAACATGTCGATACTTGATGGAATGGACGGTGCGGATGAAGCGGGGCCCCTTGGTAGCACGGACGGATCAGATGCAGCGGAGGGGGGTTCAGGTGAGGCAGTGGGTGGATCGAAATTGGAGGAAGGTGATGTGAGATTAGAGGAGGGGGAGCAGCAGACAGGCGGAAGCTTTATGGCGGATGAAGCTGACATAGTCCTAGAGGAAATGTCCGAAGCGAGCTCTTCAGTCGGTCGGGGCAGCTTCCTTGATGAGGATAGGGCGGTGGAAAGTGATGAAGTGCCGGAGCAGCAGCAGCAGCAGGGCGGGAGTGTGATGGCGGACGAAGCTGAGCAAGTCCAAGAGGAGATGTCTCAAGGTAGACTCTCAGAAGGAGAAGTGATGCCTTCAGTCAAGCACGTTACGTTTCATGAGGAGGGTGAAGCGGCGAAAAAGGATGCAGTGCAGGAGAAGGATAACGAATCTCATGTTGTTACAGGTGCAGAGAATGACGAGGAAGTTCGTGGGGAGGATGTGCGTAACGAGGCTGCTAATAAGGAGGATGAGTCACCTGGAGGGCCTAGTGTGCTCCCACCTAACCTGCTTGACTCGGTTGACTTTCTTGACCCGGTAGCAGCTTTCACCAAGACCCTTCCACCTGGAGAGCCTAGTGTGATTCCACCTGATCTGCTTGCCTCGGTTGACTTTCTTGACCCGGTATCAGCATTCACCAAGACCCTCCGCATGCTCCACCATTTCCTCTCCTCCCAACCCACCGCCGAATCCCTCCCAACTTTCTTTCTCGGGCTGCCCCGAGAACATTATTTCCGGGCAGACCAGGGCAACCATACCTCGCTCTGCCTGCCAGACGACGCCACATGTAAAGAAAACGGACAGTGTAGCTTGTTTTCGAGGCCGAGAGAGTGGTTGGAAGAGGGAGGGGAGGAGCAGGCACACCAGCAACGGTGGCAGCGGTGGCGGTGGCGGCAGGAGAGGGAGAGGAGGGAAAGAAGGAGGGAGTGGGTGCAGTCGAGTGTGGGGCAGATGGAAAGGGTGGTTGAGAGGGAGATTGGGATGGGAGACAGGGTTGTGTTGCTGCAAGCAGGGGGGTTAACTGATGCTCGTGTTGATGCTCATGTGGGCTCTTCCCTCCCTGCAGAAATGCGTGTGGGGGAGACAAAAAAGGAAGATTGCAGTCACTTTTGTGTGCCTGGAGTGCCGGACACATGGAATGAGATGTTAGTTGCTGCGCTAAGACTACAGGAAATGATGACGTAACAAACAATTGTAACAGTACAGGTGGCATTATGCGTTGTGCCATATGGTGAAACGAAGAGTGAGTGCCATAATCGTGTATTGCATTCATCCATTTGATTACATAGACGTAACAAATGGAGAGCACATTGTATACAATACAAGGAGAGCAAGATATTCTATACCTAGAAGGGTTGGTGAAATCTTCACTTGAAAATTCGTGTAATAGTCAATTTTGTATTCAAAGCTTTTTATAGCGAATCGCAACTGGTGACGCTTCAGCAATCTTTCCCGCCAAAACCGCCATGGCTGCCCGCATGTTGCGCTAACGCGCGCTGATTGTATCCGCATGTGGGCATTTTCTTTCTTTCGACGAGGCCGCCTTCGCGACACCCTCTTCTCGCGTCGCGCTTAGTTCCATAGCTTCGCTGTGAAGTATTGACCTGTCGTTACACTCACAAGCTCGTATCACCGTTGCCGACCGGAACGAGATTCCGCCTTTATTGCACTGCGCAAGATACAATTACCTCTCATTTCACAACATTTCGTGTAAATCATAACCATTTGGTACCTGGTGGTTACCCAGTGGTTACCACTATCAGCCTATCGGTTCGCCGTCGCCGCTGCTATCTGGTTATCTTCGAGCGACAACTAGCTTACCGTGTACTCCTCCGTCCCAGCACCAGACTGCCTAAGAGTCCTCCGATGTTATAGGTAGTACCGACTTGCTGTCTGCATTCCTACGTGCAACTAATTTAGTTACGGGGTTCGTTCAGACGGTGGCGAAAACAGCCGAATCGAATCCGCGATTGAAATCGTTCATCGTTTCGCTGACTCTCGAATCTGCGACCGCGTGAATAGAGTCGATTTTTGAGTCGACTCACGTGAATAGAGTCGATTTCTGAGTCGACTCAAAAATCGACTCTATTCATCGTTTCGCTGACTCTCGAATCGGCGACCGTGAATCCTGCGACGTCTTTGAGTTTCTGAGTTTCCTCATCTCGAAGTCTTCTATTCCGAGCCTTGTAGTCTCCGAACCTCCCAAGTTTCCAAGCCTCCGACTGTGAGGCTCGGGTCCAATGGGTCGGTCGAGGGGAGCCGGGGAGGAGGACCACGCCCCTAGTGGGGGCTCGAGGTGAGGGGGTGCTCTGTGCGGTGGATGGTATGTTGCTGGTGCGATTAACGGATCAGCTAATAGGGGAGACAGGGAGGAGGATCACACTCCTAGTGGGGGTTCCAGGTGAGGGGTGCTGTGTGTTGCTGGTGCTAGTAACGGTTGAGCTAATGGGGAATATAAGTACGGAAGGGTTCCAGGTGAGGGGTGCTGTGTGCGGTGGATGGTATGTTGCTGGCAGGATGCTGTGGGCGGGGGGAGCAGGGGGTAAAGTGCATCTTTCCTTTCGACCCCTCACCTCCCCTTTTTCCCGCTTCCCCCTTCCTCCCCAAACCCTCAAGACTCCCATGCCCCCTCCCCTCCCCTTCCCCTTCCCCCTCCCCTTCCTCTTCCCTTTCCCCTTCCCCTTCCCTTCCCCCAGACCAAAGCGTCGCCGCTATGCCACCACAAGCTGGCAGGACGCCGTGGGGGGAGGGCAGCAGCGGGGGGAGATTTTCCCCCTCGCATCGCCAATTTCCTCCCCAAAATCCCCTTTCCCCCCTTCCCCCCGTGGCCTTTTCCTTCCGCAGACCAAAGCGCCGCCGCTATACCACCACGAGTTGGCAAGACGCCGCGGGGGAGGAAGGAGCTGAGGGGGAGGGGGACGCATCTTGCCCCCTCAACCATTCCTTTCCCCCGTTTATTTCCTAACTCCAGCTTCCACCTCCCCTTCCCTCTCCCCTCCCCTTCCCTCTCCCCTCCCCTTCCCTCTCCCCTCCCCTTCCCCCTCCCCTTCCCCTTCCCCCAGACCAAAGCGCCGCCGCTATGCCACCACAAGCTGGCAGGACGCCGTGGGGGGAGGTAGCAGCGGGGGGGGAGGCGCTGGAGCGGGGGGGGAAGGCGCAGGCGCAGCAGCAGGGGGCGGGGGGGGATCGGGGGGAGGCGGGGGAGCGGGGGGAACAGGGGGGGGCGCGCGGAAGGGCGTGTATCACTGCAACTACTGCCACAGGGATGTGACGGGGGAGGTGCGAGTGAAGTGTGCGGCGTGTGTGGACTTTGACCTCTGCGCTGAATGCTTCTCCGTGGGCGCCGCTGCTCACCCGCACTCCGCCTCGCACCCCTATCACGTTATGGTGAGTGTGGAGAAGGGACGGGGGGGGAGGGGGCGGAGGAGGGTGATGGAAAGGGAGGGGGAAAAGAAAAGGCGCTGCTGCTTACCCCCACTCTGCCTCCCACCCCTTACCACATCATCGTGAGCGGGGAGGGGAGGGGGGGAAGGGGGAGAAGGAGTGCGAGGGAGAGGGGTCAGGGGAGGGGCAGGGGGAGGGGGAGGGGGAGGGGGGGAAGGGGGATGGGGAGGAGGGGGAGGAGGGGAGGGAGAAGGGGGGGTGGGAAGTTGAAGCGAGTGTGGTAAGGGGCACTGGATTCACAAGAGAGGGAGGAGAGGGTTTAGGGAGGGGATGGAGAAAGGGGGAATGGGAGGGGGAAGGGGGAAAGGTGGGTAGACGGGAAGGGATAAGGTGGGCAGACGGGGAGTGGGAAGGTGGTCAGACTGGGAGTGGGAAGGTGGGTAGGCTGGGAATGAAAAGGTGGGCAGAGTGGGAGCGGGAATGTGGGTAGATAAAAAACGGGAAGGTTGGCAGATGGAGAGTGGGAATGTGGACAGACTGGAAATGGGAAGGTGGGCAAACGTGGAGTGTGAAGGTAGGCAGACGGGGAGTGGGAAGGTGGGCAGACGGAGAGTGTCCATCTTCCCACTCCCAGTCTGCCCACCTTCCCAATTCCCCTCACTTTGTACTATAGTTGGTCCATCAGGCTCGTGTTTCCATGGTTTCATGTTCTCCTGCTCCCGACCAATTTGACATGCGTTAACTTTGCATGAACGCATTCTGACTGTGCGCCACCAACCGCACCAGGACACCATGAGCTTCCCTCTCGTGCATGAGGACTGGACTGCTGACGAGGAGATGCTGCTGCTCGAGGTGAGCCACGCTGCCTTGTTTACCGTTAAGGTTCATTGTAGAATGGCAATTGGGAGAAGGTGGCAGGGCATTCTCGTGAATGAGTCTGCTTTTGAGTCGACTCAAAAGCAGAGCATGTTCCACGGGCATGTGCGAGAATGTTTCTTGGGCTTCTAAGAGCACCTCTTGTTGTGCGGGTCAGCCAACCCCTCTACCTCTCTTCCCTGTCTCCCTATTTCTTCCCCCCCCCTTACCTCCTCTCTCCCCCCTTTCACACCAACCCACAGGCGCTGGAGATGTACAGAATGGGCAACTGGGGGGAAGATTGCAGAACACGTGGTAATGATATTTCTTCTTACCCGCTCTCCCATCTTCTTCTCCTCTCCATATCCTTCCCCCTCATACCGAATTACCACCCACCCCACACCAACCCACAGGCCCTCGAGATGCACGGAATGGGCAATGGGGGGGAGGTTGCGTAGCACATGGGTTGAGGATAACTCTCCGGTCTTTCTCCCTTCCCCCCTTCTTCTCCTCCCTCTCATGTGCCTCTCTCCGTGCCCCCTCAGGCGCTGGAGATGTGCGGAATGGGCAACTGGGGGGAGATTGCGGAGCACGTGGGATAGCCCCCTCACTACCTCCTCGTCCCTCCCTCCTCCGCTCCCCGTCTTCATTTCTTTACGTCCCCTTTCCCCACATGAACTTCAGGCGCTGGAGATGTACGGAATGGGCAACTGGGGGGAAATTGCGGAGCACGTGGGGTCCAAGAGCAAGACACAGTGCCACGACCACTACCTCTATGACTACCTGCTGTCACCAACCGGTCCCTTGCCTGTGAGTAGTAGAACCGTGTAGCCTTGTGTGCATGTGCGTATGTGTGGTAGTGTGGGCATGTGAAGAGCAAGGCGCAGTGCCACGACCACTACCTCTATGTTTACCTGCTCACACCACAGCCCCTGCCTGTGAGTTGACTCTGTAACCACATATCCTTGTGGGCATGTGGGCATGTGGGAAATGCTTACTGCTACATTCACTAACTCTACGACTGCCTGCTGTTGCCCTGTGACCCTCTGCCAGCAGTCCCACTTCTTTCCGTAATCCCAGGAATCAGTTTTTCCCTCCCTTGTCCCTTCCTCGTCCCTCCTTTGTCTGGTCCCTCCTGTTTCCCTGCTTCTCTTTCTAGGATCTATCTCGCCTGCGCACCCAAGCAGACACAGAAGCAGCCAAGGCGGCAATGGAGGAGGAGGAGGCAGCAGAGATTACTGTCGACCTCTAACCCTCCTCACCCTCTTTACTGCCGTCCCTCCTGTATCGCCGCCTCTCTCCAGGACCTGACACGCCTGTGAACCCAAGCAGACACAGAAGAAGCCAAGGCAGCAATGGAGGAGGGCGAGGCAACAGAGATTCTTGGCTTGGCTTCAACCCTCAGTTCCCTCCTGTGTGTGTCCTGGCATGTCCTCCCTCCCTACCATGCCCCTCCCATGTTCCTCCCATGTCTCTCCCTCCCTGCTAGGATCTATCTCGCCTGCGCACGCAGACGGACACCGAAGCAGCCAAGGCAGCAATGGAGGAGCAGGAGGCAGCAGAGACTGCTGACCTGAATTGAATCTGATCCTCATCCCCCCATGCGCACCTCCCGTGCCCCTCTCTATCCCTCCCTGCTCTGTCCCTCCCTCATGTGCCCCTGCCCCTCAGGATCTATCTCACCTCACCTGCGCACGCAAGTGGACACGGAACCAGCCAAGGCGGGAATGGAGGAGCAGGAGGCAGCAGAGACTGCTAACTTGAGTCTAACCCTTATTTCCCTCCTCCGTGCCCCCGCCCCTGTGCCGCTGCCTCTCTCTCTCTCCAGGACCTATCTCGCCTGCGCACGCAAGCAGACACAAAAGCAGCCAAGGCGGCAATGGAGGAGCAGGAGGCGGCAGAGACTGCAGCGAGGGCGCAGGAGGCAGTTCTGTTCAGCGTTCCTGTGGTCAAGTGAGTGCCCGTTGAGTCCACAAAAATCCTTATGTACACCTCACTGCAAGTGCAAGAGGCAACTCAGTTCAGCATTCCCAGGCAGGTCAAGGGAGTGTTGAGGATGGAGTGTCATGAAGTGGTGAATTGAGCCGAGTGCTGCTGACATGGTGTCAGCACCACTTCAATGACACTCAGCTTCATTGACATGGTGTCAAGTCAAGTGAGTGCTTCCGACGTGTAGGGAGGGTGTTTTTGAGACGTCCCAAAAACACCCTCTCTACACTCGGCTTTATTGACATGGTGTCAAGTGAGTGCTTCCCCAACCGAGTGCATACAAACAACCCTGTGTCAACCTTTTGAAGATATCTTAAAACGCATTTCAGTGGTCGAGTGGTTGAACATTCCTTGAGTCCAGTGCGTGGAGGGTTTCAAGGTGACTATTGAGTCGACTCAAGAGTCACCTAGTCGAGTGCATGGAGGTTTTCAAGCCTATCATCTCCGTCGCCACAGGCCTGAGCCTGGCACCAAGACAGGCGATGCTGGTGTGGTGTGGCGCCAATCACGAGCGGGTACAATACAACGCCAAGCACAACGAGTTTGACCCGGAATAGGACAACGAGGCAGAGGCACCGCTGGTAGAGCCAGTAGCAAGCCGGGGCTTCTGTGTTAACTCAATGACAAGTCACCTCGGCTCTTGAATCAACTCAAAAGGTCTCCTCTTTGCTTCTCTTTCCTCCCTGTTGGCCGTTATCCCCCACCACAGACCCGAACCAGGCACCAAGGCAGACGACGCTGCGGCACCAATCACAAGCGGGTACAACACGAAGCGCAACGAGTTTGATCCGGAATACGACAACGAGGCCGAGGCACCGCTGGCAGAGCTGGAATTCAAGGATTCCGATTCAAGTGTGGATAGACAACTGAAGATCAAGATGCTGCACATCTACTACTCCAGGTGTGTGGGGTTCCGCTGATTGATGCGTATTGAGCGTGACAAAGATTTTCCCTTGCACGGTCTACCCCCACTCCGCCTCCCGCTCTCCCCCTCTCCTCCCCTCCTCCCTTCTGTTCTACAGGCTGGAAGAGCGGCTCTGGCGCAAGGCCTTCATCCGTTTTTGAGTCGGCTCAAAACCAGAACCTTCCCCTCTCCCCTCTCCCCCAACCCTCTCCTCTTCAGACTGGAAGAGCGGTCTCGGCGCAAGGCCTTCATCTTGGAACGTGGCCTGCTAGACCCGAGACGAGAAGAATGGACGGAGCAAGGCTGGGAAACCACCTTTACTGACATAGCATCATCTCTCCCCATTCTCCCTCCCTGCGTCAGGCTGGAAGAGCGGTCACGGCGCAAGGCCTTCATCTTGGAGCGTGGTCTGCTGGACCCGAGAAGAGTTGTCACTCACGCACCATCATTCCACTGCATTTCCTTCTCGCTCCTCCCGTCTCCCCTCTCCCCCCACCCCTCTCCCATTCAGGCTGGAAGAGCGGTCAAGACGCAAGGCCTTCATCTTGGAGCGTGGCCTGCTGGACCCGAGAAGAGTGGACGGAACGATCCGACCCAAAACCACCACCGGCAGCAGGGAGAGAGTTAGGGACCGGGACAGGACAGATGAACAACACAAGAGAGAGGATGGTGCGGAACAGGGAGGGGAGAGGGAAAGGGGAACTCTGGGGGAGGTGGGGGCAGAAGCGGGAGAGGGTGGGGTGGAGAAGGGGGAAGGGGGAGGGAAGCGCGGAGGGAAGCGAGGAGGCGGTGGGGAGAGGAGAAGGTCGAAGGAGGAGAGAGAGATGTTTCTGCGGTGCCGCGTGTTCGCGCGATTTCTCAGTGCAGAGGAGCATGAGGGGCTGGTGCAGAGCCTTACCCAGGCGCAGAGACTCAGAGACAGAGTGGCCGTGCTGCAGGTAAGGCTTCTAGTTTGTCTGAAATAGCACCTAGTAGTCCTGATCTGACGCTCAAAGGAGCATGAGAGGCTGCTGCAGAGCCTTACTCAGGCGCAGAGACTCAGAGGTAGAGTGGCCGTGCTGCAGGCGAGAGAAGCTTTCGTGGGGGTGAGTGGTCGTTCGGTCGGAAAGAGTAGCAGCACTAGGAGGAGGAGCTAGTGCAGAGCCTCACCCAGGTGCAGCGACGCAGAGACAGAGTGGTCGTGCTGCAGGTTCAGTGCTTCTGGCATTCGCTGGTTGCAATTCGCTGGCAGAGGGCCGACGGTTCACTTAGGCTCACTACGAGGACAAACCCGCCCGTAGTGGTGCCCCTGCTGCTTCTATTGTGCTCTCTTCTATTACTTTCCCAACCCCTTTAGGAGCTGAGAGCAGCGGGGTGCAAGTCACTGGCGGAGGGCCGTCGGTTCATTCAAGCACATTACAAGGACAACCCCGCTGCTGCTGCTGCTCCTCTTAACGTACTCTCTTTTTATCCTCTCCCATCAACAACAGGAGTTGAGAGCAGCGGGGTGCAAGTCTCTAGCAGAGGGTCGTAGGTTCATCCAGGCGCATTACAAGGACAACCCCGCCGCTGCCGCTGCTGCTATTGCATGCCTTCCACCCTCCGCCACAGGTGTAATACCCACTCTCTGTCACATGTGTGTGAAAGCTAGCTAGCACCGACACATGTATCGCAGTCAGTGCCACAAGGACAACCCCGCTGCCGCTGCTGTTGCTGCTGCTGCAATTGCACTCACAGCCAATGGCGTAGCACGATCAGCAAGATATCCCATTTTCTCATCGCCTCATGCTCCGTCTTCCTTGCTTGTTCTTCTCCATTCTGCCACTTTTCCCTCTCCCTCTTTGCTCCCTTGCCACTTGCTCCACCAGCCATCAGCACAGCATCATCAGGAGGCGCTTCAGCAGCTCTTGACATCTCCTCTCACCCTGGATGCGACCTGCTGTCACCCAAGGTGAGAGGTTCATTCCCAATATATTATTTCGCTCTAATCGGGTTGTGCTCTAATCATATTGCGCTATGATGATATCTGCCAAGGTGAGATCACAAGGGCGGGTATCTTCCTACCATCTACATGCCTCCCATTCTCCTTTCCATGCTGCCTTCATGCCTCTCGGTGTTGTTGTGACTGCTCCGCTCTGCCTCCAAACCGTTTCATCTTTCTTCTGTTGACTCCTCCTTTCTATTCAGTCCATGCTTCAAAGCAAACCTCTTCCCTTCCTCACAACCTCCCTTCTCTCCTCCCTCTAACACATGTGTCCACTTGCTGTCCTTCCACTTGTGCATGTCTTCCGGATCACGACAAACAACGCCAAACTCTGCCATCCGCTCAGGAGCGTGAGCTGTGCACGCACATGCGCCTGCTGCCAGCTCACTACCTTCGAGCCAAGCAGGTGAGTTTGGTGAAGAAGGTTTGACTTTGATGCACGCAATTCCGGCCTCAGAACTTGGCTGCCAGCACACTACCTCCGCGCCAAGCAGGTGAGATTCGTGTGCTGGGCCACTACCTTAGTGTGCTGCTAAATCGCCTAGTGTGTGTGTGTGTGTGTGTGTGTGTGTGTGTGTGTGTGTGTGTGTGTGTGTGTGTGTGTGTGTGTGTGTGTGTGTGTGTGTGTGTGTGTGTGTGTGTGTGTGTGTGTGTGTGTGTGTGTGTGTGTGTGTGTGTGTGTGTGTGTGCGTGCGTGTGCGTTGTGTGTGCGTGTGTGCGTGCGTGCGTGCGTGTGTGCGTGCGTGAGCACGCGCGTGTGTGTGTATGATGTCTCTTTTAAGGAACTTAAAGAGTGTGTACACTCATTAGTATTAGCTGTGTATGCACACGCGCGCACGGCACGCTGCCAGCACACTACCTCCGAACCAAGCAGGTGAGGTTCTTTGTGTGGGCGTGTGAGGAGCCTAAATGAGGCCACACTGACCGCATGCCTAAACTCTTGACTGCTGCCGACACACTACCTCCGGGCCAAGCACGTGAGAATCTTATTGTAGTTTTGTGTATGACCAGTCTACTAAGTAGGCTCAAGAGGGCCAAACAGGTTAGCTTGTTAAGACTTGTCTAAGGGCCTGCTTCAACCACCCACGTCACAAGCAGAAGTGCACCGACCCTTTTCCCTGCGCAATCCACCACTGACAAGATGTGTGTGCCCTGCCTCGTTTCTCACGCCAACCATTCTCCCACCCATCCATCAGTTCATCTTGCAACAAGCAGCGCTCCCAGGAGGGACCTTCTAAGGAGCAGCAGTGTACTTACAGTTCCGTCTTCCTCCAGCCACCATTGACACCATGTGCCCTGTCTTCTCTCCCTTCGGCCACCCCTTCTACCTCCCATCCGGTCATCCTACAGCAAGCAGCGATGTCAGGGGAAACCATTTCACGAGCAGCGGTGCACCGACTCTTCCAGCCTGCCCCTTGCCACCACTCACGTCATGTACCCTTCCTCTTTCCTTCCATCCCCTCCTTCCGTCCCGCCCATTTTATCAGGTTATCTTGCAGCAAGCAGCCCTCTCAGGGGGGACCATCTCACGAGCAGCAGTGCCACCGACTCTTCCGCCTGCCCCCGCCATCACTGACGGCATGTTCCTTGCGTTTTCTCCCTACATCCCCCGATCCCCCATCCCCTCTCCCCCATCGGAACAGGTTATTTTGCAGCAAGCAGCCCTGTCGGGAGGGGCCATTTCACGAGCAGCAGTGCATCGACTCTTCCGCCTGCCCCCTGCCACAACTGACGCAATCTTTAGACTCCTGCTGGGGGCTAGCTGGATAGCTGAAGCTGGGGGGAACAGTTCTGGTGGGGGGATGGGAGGGGCGATGGGAGGGGGGATGGTGAAGCAAGAGGGCATGTGAGATCAGGTTGCCCCCTGCCGCCACTGACGTAGATTTCATGCATTTGCCAGGGGCTGGCTGAATAGCTGAAGCTGCCGGTTTGGGTGGTGGTGAAGCAAGCAACATCTAATTGCCAAAGCCACTGTGTACTCACATCTACTGGTATCAGTTAGTGTTTTTCCGTGGTTCTGAGGTGTATCAATTGCTAAATTCCTAGAATGTTCACATTCTTGGTGGTTGATAGCAAGACATCAGTGGATTGATTGTACCGAAACCTAGACATCAAGTCGCAATGTGCAATCCTATAGAGACATTCCACTCACTGATTATAACAAGGTTTTGTCCCCCACACATGTTGACGAGCAGCGGGGAACACGCTGCCAGGTTCACGCCTAATCCACGCCTTCTTCACGCCTTCCGTATTTTCTCCTTGTTCACGCCTTATTTACGCCTTGTTTATGCCATCCTCTTGCCTGAAGAGCAGCGAAAATGGCGAATCTGGCGAGACGCGTCGTACGCCCAGCGCGAATAATAATCTGCTTTTCGCTCAGATGGGCTGTGCGCTGGTTGTAAAGTCCGCACGGCGGGGATTTGGAATGGTTGCTGCTCTCGCGGATCCAGGTTCTTCTTCATCGCGTCTCTCGGGCAAAGGTTCGCCGACGTCGAGGAAGAATAAGCACCGTCGAAATCTAGTTTCCCCATGCAAAAGTTATCGTTTTTGTTGATCATTCTCCTCACCAAGCTCGTCGACTCTTCCTCTTGCCAACAAGCGAGTCGAGTTCACAATGGCGACGGCAACTGCAAGGCTTCTGGAGGAGATTATGAGTGTAGGGACCAGGGCTGTCGCTTGCAGAGCGTTTGCCCTGCTGGACCTTGAATTCCAGGGCTGGGTTGCCTTTGAAAACTGAAATTGATGGGTTGGAAATATTCTGGCCCTGATTCTTTGCAGGGCTGATTTCGGGCTCAGGCCCGGTGTGTAAAGGGCAGATTTTAGGCGAGCCCTGGAACAAAATCTCTCGAGACCCCCCTTCCACTCCCCTCCCCCCCCCCCCCAACACTCCTCCCTCTCTTTTCCCCTTCGTTTCTAGCCTGATTGCATCCAACAAGGCAATTTCGAGTTGCTTGGTTGGGCCACAAATTCAACTCAGCCTAGAACTTGTGCTTAAACCAATCACAGCTCGCTCTCTGTGGAGTGGGTAATGGTTAAGGTTGGGTATTAGTGCACAAGAACTACCCTGAAGGTTGGGTAGTAGATGTGCAGACGATCATAGGTTCTGCAAAGGCTAGGAAGCCTGCAAAACGTGCGTAGTGATATGACGCTAACTATTTCTCTTTATGTCGTGTTTGCTTGCTTGTCGTTGATCTCAAACGTAGTTGTACGCTTGGTAGTTGAAATGAGGCTCCCGATTTTTTCGCGCCAAACCTGATTCAAGGGAGGAAAAATTTCCAGCCCTGAAGCCTTAAGGGCCGAGATTCGCCCCAACCCTGCTAAATACAGGATCATACATGCCGAGCCCCCTGATTTGTCCGGAAGGCCCAAAACGAAACAACAGGCCTGGTAGGGACAAAGATAGCCGTTCTCTTGGTGAGGAGAACGATCAGCAAAAACGATAATTTTTGCCTATTTCTCGATTGTGCCTCCTGATTATGTTGAGGCAAGGTGATTGCCCTGTGCGGGCACAATCGAGAAAAAGGCAAAAGAGGGTTAGCACTAGCAGACAGTTGAGTACATATACGAAACCCTAATCGAGCTGTACTCGCTATAGAGTACCCCACTGCACGCTAGACAAACATCACATTCTGACAACCCTAGGCCCCCTAAACTATTATGTTTGACAGAGAGTGAGTGTGCGGAACAGGAGTGAATGTCACATTCGAGTGTGTGTGCGACTCGACCTGAGGCAAGGCGATTGCCCTGTGCGGGCGGTGGGATCGTTCGAGCGACGGGGGGAGTGCGTGATGGATCTAGTGAGAGATGCGAATGAGGGACAGTTGACGAGCGGCGGAGAGGGAAGGGAGGCACGGGAGGGAGGCGCGCTACAGCAGGAGCGAATGCAAGACGGAAGCGAGGCGCGGGACGGAAGGGACGGAGAGTGCTGGGCGATGGCAGGGACGGGGGTGGATTGGACGATTGACGGAAGGCACGACCGGGACGGGAGTGACGGGCATGGCG